CCCCCCCACCCCCACCCCAAAAAAATACCCTGCACTGCCTCATGACGAGCATTCAAGTGGAGTTGTGTAGTAAGCACAAGTTTTTTGTCCCTCCCCGGCCCCCGAAATGTTATTGTAATGCCCTGTGACTTTATGCAGTTTCAAAATGAACACTGTTCTTAAAATTAGGAAAGTAGAAAATCGGAATGATTCAATTAAAATGTTCTGCGCGTGAGTTCCATTTAATTTGTGACGAAATAAATGCTTCAAAACAAATCGTTTAAATGGAACGTGTCCAAACTGCGGCGCGCGGGTCAATTGCGGACCATGCAAAGAATATGGAATTGCTTTCTTGATTGACTTTCGCGCATTTCAAAAAGTTGAAGGATCTCCTCCTTCCATTTTTCTGTCGTCAGCCCCCAAACGAAGAAGTTTGGACACGCCTGCTTTAAATGCAAATGTATTTGTACTTCAAAGTGAAATACAACTGAACTCTACCAAACAAAATTTTTTGTGGGGCCAAGTATGTTAAAACACTCTCTTTCATACTGTAGCCAAAAAAAAAAAAAACCACAAAGAAATGTAAAAACATGACATCCCCCTGAGAAATTCTCCCATGTCACCGGGCAGATGGACGACGGGAAGAGTATCCGTTACAAGGACCTGTACGCCCTGTTTGAGCACATCCTGGAGAAGAGCATGCGGCTGGAGCAGCGCGACTGGAACGAGTCGCCGGTCAAGGTGTGGGTGAACACCTTCAAGGTCTTCCTGGACGAGTTCATGACTGAGTACAAGCCCATGCAGGGGACCATCGGCAGGGTAAGAACAAACCTCAACAACGTCGATGTCATTTGCGGGCCAAAGGGACCGAGCCCTGACCCCCCCCCCCCAAAAAACATTTCTAATTGCCTCACACCGCATTGTCGGTTTTTACGTGAATTAAGCAGCTTTCAACTCACAATTTGGGCCAAGGTACGTGATTATTTTTGCTGCGGTAACCATCATTTCACCTCCCCAAATAACTGGCGTGTCATCGAATTGCTTTTCCATGTTTTATTTCCATATTTGTAAGAAGTGAGAAAAAGTCACGTGTCTTTTCTTTGCAGGCTGCCAAACGAGAGCGCAAGAAGTCGCGCAAGAAGGAAACCGACATTGTGAGTTCCAAATAGAAAGCCGGATTTTTGTTTTCCGAATGTATGCGCGCTTGACGTGGCCTTTTGCTGACCCCCCCCCCCCCAACC